GCAGATCATTAATTAGCTGGGTAAATAAGCAATGCCTCACGCTGATAACTTTGTCAGTTCATTGACTCTGGTTCCTGTATGTGTTCTTGATCCAGTGTTCTCGGGACCAGATGGCTCCTGATCTTGATATTTCTCATAGTTTATCCTGACTTTGGCTTGTCCTGGACTATCCTCCTGCTTTTTTCCTTACCTGTACTGCAACTTGGAGCTATATCCTGCACAAACCCCATGCATAGACTCACAGCCCAGGTGGCTTCTTATCTGGTCACTTTGGTCTGTGTTTATTTGCAAGGGTGAGTATATTACTCTGCACTTCTGACATCACATCAGATAAGATCCTGACAAAAATAAATCACTAATTTGTGCTCAGCTATAGGAGTATAGAATGACCACTTTTACATACACTTCTAAATGTTTCATTAAAATATAGGGCTGAATGTATAACCTGCAGTGTGTTTTTTTTTTGTGTGGGTTTTTTTAATGGCAAATTGAAGATAGGTCTATCTTGGGGCATTTTAGCATCTCACATCTTTTTGCCATTTATAATACCGTCACCTTAGCATCCTAATTGTTACAGTGTGCATTTGTCAATGACACAAAAATGATGCAAAGGGTCTCATTCTATACAAACTATCTCCGTTTGTGATTCAATGACCTTTTGTGGCATTTTGACTCCTTAAAGAGCTTCTATAGTGTTATGAATGCAAAGTTGTATTTCAAAAACTGTAGTGCCCTCTGATCCCCTCGTGGCTACCACATCAACACATAAATGGTTATTTACCTAACCAATTCTAGCTTCAATCTCCCTCTGTGCTGGGTTGGTGCTCTGCCTCCTCCCACATCAATTGACAGGGGAACCTAATGTGCATGTGCTGCAAGCGCATTAGGCCCTCCCTATAGGAAAGAATTGCCTCAATGCTTTCCTACGAGGATTTCAATGATGCTGGCTGTCCAGCATCAGTTAAGGAACCTAGAGTCCGGTAAACTCCTAAGAGCACCTCTAGTGGCTGTCTGGTAGATAATACATTGCAGGACTAAGAGTGACAGAAACACTGCACCTAGACAACTTCAATGAGCTGAAGTGGTCTGAGTGCCTATAGTATCCACTTAAGCACTTTACATTGCTCCTGATATTATTACCTGCGCTCCAGACCCTTCCTTGTCCTTGGCCTGGTCCATTGCTACTGTTTATTCTGTGACCATGCACCAGTCCTCAATTGTTTCTGGCATTGAGTTTTGCTATCAACTTCATCTTTATTATCTATCTAATAAATATTTATTTTCTCTATATATTTCCTCTTGTGCTTTGTTGCTAGGTTATAGCCTGTACCTTCCTAAGGATCCTTTTCATATCCTGACCGTCCTTAATGGAATGACATCATGGCGGAATAATTCCATCATGGGTCGCTTATTATTTAAAACTAAATATTATTTTTAAGGAATTGTTAACATTTTTGTTAAGTCAAACACTTACCTCTCTTGAGTGAAACTGTTTAATCTTCCCATTTTTTGATTCAGAGATGTACATATGCAAAGCATGAGCTATTGCATGGACAGCAGCATAAACATTGTAAGTTGTACGGAAATTTTCAGCATCAAACAAGAACTTAGGAAGAGAACTAAGAGAGAATTTCTTCTTGCAAACTTGTGTATTTCCACTATGATCATCTGCAGGTAGGCACCCGAAATAAGTTAACCATACATTTTGCAAGAATGTGTTATTCGTATACACCGTGGGGCTAGTTCTGTAGAGGAATTCTTGAAAACCTGGAATATATGATTTAGCTGCCACAAGAATAAGTGATCTATTCATTATTTTATTTAATGCATGTTGGCTTAAATATCCTGTGCTATGTGCTGATATCTCTGATGATAATATAAGTGTTTTCTCACGAAGTTTAATCAGATAAAAAAAATTCATGAATATGTTTGTCAGGTGGTCCTCAGTGGAAAATATAACAATAACCTTTGCTGTGTATCTCAAAACATTGTTTTCTTGATAATCTGAATCAGATTTTAACATAAATTCAACACAAATTCCATTTTTAATACTCTCTGCTCTAAAACTTTGGCTTGCCATCTCACTACTCTCTGCTGGTGAGTGCAGTATGCCAATCCATGTCCAACCATAGTGTTTCAGCAG